GAAAGATTTCTCTTTATTTTATCTTAAGACTCGATTCTTGGGACATTGGGTGCTGTACCCGAGTGGCCGNTAACCTCAAAATACCGTTCAAAATGTCCCTTTTTTTAATTTTGCATTTTGGCTCCCATTCCACTAGAAAACACTATATTTAATACACCATTGGCAATGTTTCTGAAAGATTTCTCTTTATTTTATCTTAAGACTCGATTCTTGGGACATTGGGTGCTGTACCCGAGTGGCCGGATTGGAAAAAGAAAAGCTACCTTTAAACTCTAATAACTCGTAAACTATCAGCTTTCACAAACAAATTTATATAACAAAAATGGTTATACTGGTCGATATCTTTACGGAAGTGCAGAATTTAACCCTTTGTCATATATGAAACGCTTTTTAACCCTTTCAAGGCAGAGGCAAAATGGTTCTCAATATGTTTTCAACGTACTTTTTATTTATTTTTATTTTTATTTTTTTTATTTATTTTATTTTTATTTTACTATGGAAAAATTTTCTACGATTAATATCTACGTCAACATGAGAAAAAGCACGTTCAAACGCATATTAAGAACCTTCGAACAAGTTTCGCTAGTATACACTTCAGTTTTTACACATTGAATATATCTGCATATTTATATATTTACGCGTATCTATTTACAATTATTTCTGTACAAGTCTACAAAATCTTATTACTTATAAAGCGATTTTTAATCTTCGTTGCTTAACACACATTTTTTCAATTCCTTGTTGTGTTGTAATCGGCACATTATGTACCGCTAACATCGTTTAACCATTCAGCCCCTCCTTAATTGTATAAAAAGAAGGGACAAATAAGATAGCATATTCAACAATTGAGTAGTCCACTTGCAAAGTGCGCTATGTAAATTTTTTTTAGATTTTTAGTTTTCGGTGGGTTTCATGTCCACTAACAGCAGAGTGAATAATTTTTCTATATTCTGAAAAAATGNCGAATGGGGGCTACAAATTATATTGAGCTGACCTTATTGATTTTCACTGTAAACTCCCTGTTCATGATAAGTGAAAAAAGTTCAAATATTAACGTTTTTAGCAGCTTAAGTGGAAGAGATATAACTCAAATGTTCATTTCTAAACAGTTGAGTTGTATGGGAGCTAAATGTTGTGAAACCAAGCAAAAGCTCCGACTATTCCATAATACAGTTTAAAGGCATTTCCTTGTGTTGGATTTTAGTTGGATATATCGAGGGACTTGTTTGCATTCAAACAGAGTTAAAGTCGGACATGGTTAAATGGACGCGGTTTGTCGTTTTGATCGTTTCGGTATAATTTTTCATGTTCACGAAATTTAAAAAAGTCTACATACATACCTTATCAAACTTCTAAAACAGGTAAAATCGGAAGATTTTCACAAATTTTTTACAGTGTTGCATAATGCAAATATGTCGCAGCATTTTGCCATGTGTCATGGGAGAATTCATGCGTTGCATGCCACCTCCCGACCTATCTTCCTGCCTTCCTACCTTCTCGAACTCGCTGCGTCGCGCTCGGCTGATAACCCGTTTGTTTTTGTTAGTGGCTGCCTGCATCCCATCAAAGAGCACAATGTTGCATGTGTCTGCTTGGATTTGTTGACGCTGCGCTTGGACCTAAATTGGTGCTGCAGCAGCAGGCGACAAATCGATTGGGCCAACAGAGTTATATCGAAGTAAAACAACAACAATCAACTGCAATAAAATCTGCAGCAATCACACTAACAACCACTGCTATGTTAGCATGCATTAGTAGTAAAATGACAACAACCAACAAACTAACGCGCCGCAGAGCTTTAAGACAACTCGACTCCGCTTAACACAGTTCAATGCGCATGCACGTGGGCGTTATACTCGTAGTTGTACCACGCGGCTTGCTACTACCACTGCATGGCGCACCAACAACAGGCAGCTAGCGGCAAACGGCAAGCGGCAAGCGGCCACAGAACTTGAACGTACCGCGCGTTCGCGTTTGCGCGATCATTACTTTATCACTTTATTGCCTGAGTCGTTTCTTGTTTTGACGATGTTGATGCTATGCTGTTGGTGCAACGAGAAAAAAAGCTAATACTAGTACCACTCACTATGCACTATAAGTGGCTATTTCTTTTATTGGGCTTCATATGCATGCAATATGTGTTGTTGTAGTTTAGGTTGCACTCAACGCTTGTCGATGTGTTTTAGCCCTACCACTTCTTCTTATGCTTTTGCTACCTCCACAGCATCTTCTTCTTGTTTTACAAACACTTTGACGTTTGTTTGCTTAGTTCTCGTCCTACGTTGAATAGGCTGACGCCGTTGCTACCTTTCCGCTGCCTCAGCAGTCGCTGATCGCTAGCTGATCTTTTATTGATCTTCTATGCTCGGCAGCGTTGTCTTGTTTGTAGCTTAGAAAACCCAACGTCGTCCATGCGGACGTCAGTCAATCTTTGTGCGTCGAGCGTGGCAGTTCGCTTTCGGTCACCTTTGAGTTCCGCGTTTAACAAAAATAAGATAAAGTAAATGGTTCGTGCTTAGTTGTTGACGGAGCGCACGGAAATCTTATCAAAGTTTTTGTTCTTTTTCATTTCGTTGGTTTAACATTTTTAATGATCGCATAAATCTTTTTAATTAAAATCAGCTAAGTAGTCCACTGTGGCAATTGTGCTGGAATTTAGTTATTGCTCAAAAGTGTTGTCGCTGTGGCACGAACATTTGCCAGCGGCGGTGTGGTCCAATTCATTCTAATCTATGTATGTGAAATAATTTTTCTGGTGAATAAGTTTTATACACAGCGTCTAGCGTCAACAGTTGGGCGGACGGTCGGGCGGCGCCACGGATGATTAGTAATAGTGACAGATATGAATACGCACAAATACAACCAGCAACGGGCGATACACTGATCAACGCACTCAGCAACCGCGGGATCAGCGCTAATCTTTGGAATACCTTCGCTTCTTATTAGACAGAATTGGCCGAGCGTTAGCTCTATGTCCTGAGTTAAATTTTTATTTATTTATTTTCTCTTTTTGGCTGCTTGACACTCTTGTCACTTGGACATTGGTGTCGGTGTTGTTTCGGCTTAATTGTTATTGTTGTAAATGTCTTCGCGGTGTTGTTTCGGCTTAGCTGTCATTTGTCGTTTCTCATTTGTTTTTATTGCCGCTGTGTCGGTTGCTGTGCTCCTTAGCCTGAGGTGTACTAATGACCAAAATTATTTTAATATCGGTTTTTTATTGCAGCGCCATCCGGCGTATGTTTTAAGAAATCCACCTCAGGCTGATTTAAACGACGTGCGCTGACATTCGCTTCGTTTTAGTGCTGTGCCGCTGTTGATCGGGATTCTGTAAATTGTTGCCGCTGCGGGCAGTTCAAATTCGATTACGCGGTTAAAGGGTGTGTGTGCGTGTGGATTTTGTAGGCATACATAAAATCCATAAATTTTTGTGGAAATTCGAGTGAATAATTATTATACATATGGTCGCACAGAATTTGAAAACGAAATTTTTCAAGAAAACTTACATATACATCCATCCATACATAAACAAATATGAATGTATTTATACTATATATGTAGCATATTTTGCCGGTGGTATTTATTCGAGCGCAATGAAACTAAAAGATAATAGATTATAAAAAATCGTATAAATGTTTAATGACAATAATTTACCCTTGCATATAAACGGAAGACGTAATTAGTCAGGGGATTCGTCATAATAAAGGTAAGTGTATCTTAAAAATAAATAATATTCCAAAATCTTTATATCAAAATGGGAAAAGGTGTATTTCTTTATTTAAAAATGCTATATTTATAGAAACGTATTATAGTTGTTGAAAAAATTATAGCCGCACCACATTTTGACAAGTTTTGACTATTTTTTATTTTTAGTTTTTATTTATTTTTTATAAAAATGTACTTCATTCTTTAACAAAACCCATGTAATATCAATTTAGCCCCATGGCTACAAATTACGGTTGATTCTTTCGAAATTTTTGTTGTCCCATTTGCTTCCATATAACGAGTACACACAATTTATTTTAATAAATTAATGGTAATTTTTAGTCATTTGAATCTGGCACTTTATCCTACTAGAATTCAATGGCCTACGAAACTGTATACTCAGAATCGTTCTAGGAAATCTAATTAAAAAAATTAAATTAANTTGCTTCCATATAACGAGTACACACAATTTATTTTAATAAATTAATGGTAATTTTTAGTCATTTGAATCTGGCACTTTATCCTACTAGAATTCAATGGCCTACGAAACTGTATACTCAGAATCGTTCTAGGAAATCTAATTAAAAAAATTCGAATTTTTTCGAAAGCCTATTAATTTTTATTAAATATTGCACAAAGTTTGAATCATGGATTTAAACGGGTTTTGGTAATAAATGAAATATATTTTTATAAAAAATAATCAAAATTAAATAACAACAAAAATATTATGTTAAAACTTGCCAAAAGGTGGTGCGGCTATAATTTTTTCGGCCACTGCAAGTTTTCTATATTTTAGTAGTTACCTATACTTTACTGTAGGTATATTGTGTACTTAAATAGATTTACATACATACATGCCAAGTTCCTTCAGATAGGATTGAATCAATTCAAAAACAGTTCTTCCCTTTTGCATAGCAGATTTTAACTGGGATTCAGACTACAATCTCCTNATTATGTTAAAACTTGCCAAAAGGTGGTGCGGCTATAATTTTTTCGGCCAATGCAAGTTTTCTATATTTTAGTAGTTACCTATACTTTACTGTAGGTATATTGTGTACTTAAATACTTTCGATGCCATTAACTATAGAGTACAATAGATTTACATACATACATGCCAAGTTCCTTCAGATAGGATTGAATCAATTCAAAAACAATTCTTCCCTTTTGCATAGCAGATTTTAACTGTGATTCAGACTACAATCTCCTGNCAAGTTCCTTCAGATAGGATTGAATCAATTCAAAAACAGTTCTTCCCTTTTGCATAGCAGATTTTAACTGGGATTCAGACTACAATCTCCTCCCTTACACAAGTCGTCTAAAGCTCACAAATTTGCCTACACTCGCAAGTCGTAGTGAAATGCTAGGTATAACATTTATCGTAAAATTAGTGACAGGCTTGATTAATNGCTCATAAATTTGCCTAAACTCGCAAGTCGTAGAGAAATGCTAGGTATAACATTTATCGTAAAATTAGTGACAGGCGCGGCCCTCCTGGCTGTGGTAAATTTTAATGTTCCCTCTCGAGTGTCAAAACACTTTCGACCTCTGTTTTTGAAGCCATGCAAAACTAATTTTGAACTATAGGAATCATTTCGTTGTTCATGTCAAGATTCTAACTCTCATTCCAGCACGTTTGACATATCGGACTCGATTTTTATTATAAAGAAAACTATTATTTCCACTCTCAATAATTGAAATACTATCATTAGCATATCCAACCAGCTGATGAATTTGATTCTGCATCTGAATAGTTTTAGACCTCGACACTTAACAAACTCTTGTTTCCACGACTCGGCACCAAAAAAAAAAGGCTCCGTACGTCATGCGGACTGCGTCCCTCGTGCCGGTTGGACGGGAATGGAGGGTAAAGACCGTTGAGATTAATTAAGGAAAAAAATAAAAAATGTATATTGTGTATTCAAGTACTTAAATTCCCAGCAATAAACACTGAGTATTCTTAGTTACTTTTACGTAAAGCAATACCGCGAACTTAGCTTTACTATATACTGGATACAAATGTAATCCCGAGAAGTCCCGAAAAATCCCAAAATAATCCTTCACTAAACACCGAATACAAAAGTAGCCCCAAAAAAAAAGCACCAAAATAATCGAAAAAAGTCCCGGAAATAAAACACAAAGGATCGCGATAAGTCCTGAAAGAATTTAGGAAAGTCGCGGTAATTTCTCGAAAGTTCTTAAAAAATCCCAACAATTAGAAAAACAAGAATCCAGAGAAAATCTCGAAAAGTTTTGTAAGATCCTGAAAATTTATCTAAACGCTTAAATGCCTCGTAAACTCGTAAACCTCATAAATAACTGTTTTGCCATACAAAATTAAGTAAGCTTACGAGGTTTACTTGGTTACGAGGTATTTACGCATCCAGACGAATACCATATTTTCAATGTTTGAAAAAATTGCCGAATTCCCAAATTAATCCCAAAAAGTCCCGGAAAGCCCCAGAAATATCCATAAAAGTAATACAAAAAGAATCACGAAGAGTCCTGAAGATGTTCTGAAAATCCCGTAAATTTCTCGAAAGTTATTAAAAAATCCTAAGAAGTAAAAAAGAAGGGCATTTCCCTTGCATTTTTTTTTAAGTTGGCAACTTTTCTGTTTTTCATATGCAGAAATTTGTACATTGAGAAAAAATCAACCAAAAGTTTATTAATATTACCAAATTTAAACTTGAAAAAGAATCAAATTAATTTAAGAATTCTTTGGTAATATTAACCACACTTTTGTTTACATAAAAAAATGTTTGGTTGCCAACTTCTTCCATTGAAAACCCTTCTTTTCTGCACTTCACAGATGATACAAAATACAAAACAAAAATTTTTATTATCATTTTAACACTTTTACTCTGAAAAAATACAAAATTACATGCCGCCTCTGCCGGCATTCGAGCTCGGGCCTGCTGGAAGCCAACAAAAAGCGAACATCTCTGCACCTTTAGCTACAGCCAAATTTTCAAATGTTCGACTTGAATCAATTTTGAATTTCTTAAAATCGCTGTATGTACCGCGAAAAAATAAAACAATAACTTGGGTGAAAAAAAAAACATTGTACTTTTGGCTCAAGATTCAACATTAAAATAAAATCTACCCTACAAAATAGTTTTAATAAACAAGGCGATTTGTAGGAAAAGTTATGGGAAGACGGAGATGATGATGAAACGAGAGATAAAGAGAAAGACGAAGATAAAGATAAAGTGAAAGGCGAAGATCAAAAGAACGAGGAAAGTGAACAGTAAAATGAAGATGAATACGACGATGAAGATTGAAAATTAAGCTCAAGAGGAAGAGGCGATGAAGAGAAGATGAAAAATCACTTTTAGATTAAAGTTAAGATAAAGAGTGAGATTAGGAGTAAAACAAACGCAAAGACAAACAAGGACAAAGAAAATTACAAAGACGAAGAGAAAAACAAGAATAAAGACAGAGATGTAGGCAAGACAAAGAAAAAGTAGAGACAGAAAGTATAAGCGCCAAAATATTATTATTACTTCTTAAGGTTAGATAACCGACTGCCTGTAAATTTCAAAATAGTTGCTCGTTAATAGTTTAATTTTTTCCAATCCACAAAAAATTGTTTAATTTTCCAGCTCGTTTACTTAAGATAAAAGATAAAAGTACTAAACACAATTTTGAACGTTATCTAGTAGATAGTTTTATTGGCTTTCGGATGAACATATTTTCGTAAGCAAGAGATTTCTACATAAAAAAATTGTCTTTTTTAGACACACCTTCGAAGTTAGACAAGGTAAAAATGGCTAAGGCGTTCGAGTTAGATCCCAAATTTTAGGTCTGTTTCGTCATAAAATTAAAGAGAATGTAATCTAAAAGTCTTGTAGTCAGTAGAAAAATGCTCTATGTATTACCTACATAAATTAAAATCTATTGCATTTTTTTTTATCTGGGTGAAATGTAGTATTGTAAATAAATTAAGGCAAAGCTTTTGTTAAGGTTGTTAGTGGCCTTAACAAAAGCTTTCACTTATTTTACTTTACTTTATTTGTTATAGCGCACATGTTAAATAAAAGTTTGTCTTACAAAATTTGTGTACATTATTTTATATCAAATGATATTTATGTAAATGAGAAACACTTTTCTTTTGATTCCTCATTTCCTCGTTCAATTTACCACCAATCATAGGTGAAAAAGTTAAATGTATCACTTTCCATTTCCCATGCCAACCCACGTGTTGTCCACATAAATAACATAACACTACCATGCTCCACGTTTGGCCTAATAAATATGTCAATTTTTTTAGTAGACTAAATAAAAATATTTTTAAGCATTTGAGCGAAACGAAAAATACACACGTAAATCGTAAATAAATATTTGAAAAACTTTGCAACCGTTGACAAATTTATTGCCCTTTTCGTTGCGATTTCAATACCTCAGCGACAAGTTTTCTATAGGCTCATCTATTATTTATTATGCTTCCAAAATAAAAATAGCCCATTTACTGTAAAAATTTATTTTCTTAATATAAATGCAATAAATGTCGCTATGTTGCCTCACGTTGGCACCTCATTAATCTGACTTATGAAGAAACCCTTTATTGAACTATTCAGAAAATATATTTGTACTCATATACACACATACATATGTACATACATTCACAGGTATGCATAACAATAGCAATAATGCTAATATGTAGTGACAAAGTTTGATTTGATTTGAAGTTGATTTTTATAATTTTGAATATTATCTAATTAACGCTCTGCATGCGGTATTTTTTTACAATTAAATTATTTTTTTATTTCAGTCTTTGAAAGCCCATCGCAATGATTGTTAACTATATAGGCGAGCTTACTTTTTTGGTCATGCAAGAGCCTAAATTNAACGCTCTGCATGCGGTATTTTTTTACAATTAAATTATTTTTTTATTTCAAGTCTTTGAAAGCCCATCGCAGTGATTGTTAACTGCCTTATAGGCGAGCTTACTTTTTTGGTCATGCAAGAGCCTAAATTAATACTTTCGTTTAAAAATACAGC